GTTTAACACCCCCCTCAAGATAACAATTCAGAATGAATTGTTGGCTTGTCTCGTAAGGCTGTGAACCGTGTGGCAGAGAGAGTTTTAGTGAATATGCCCGCTAGTTGGTCCTGGGAGGCAATGTGGTGCACAATGAGTTGCTTTGCAGCAATGCAGTCTCGAATGAAGTGATAATCCACCTCAATATGCTTTATACGCGAATGGAAAACAGGGTTGTTTGCCAATGCAATTGCTGAGATGTTATAACAGTAGACCGGTGTGGATGTATCAGAAGAAATTTGAAAATCAGCGAGAAGCCGCCTTAACCACATTAGTTCACTAGCAACAGCTGCTAATGCCCGATACTCGGCTTCGGTAGAGGAGCGAGCAACAGTTGGTTGCTTTTTAGCATGCCATGAGAGGAGATTGGTACCTAAGAATGTGCAAAAACCTGTTACCGATCGACGATCCACGGAATCAGCAGCCCAATCAGAGTCTGTGTAGGCAGTGAGCTGTAGAGCAGACCTATGAATAAGTAAAGTGAGGTGTTGCGTGCCTTTGAGATATCGCATTACACGTTTCAGGAGCTGAAAGTGTTTGTCTAAGGTATGGTGCATTTGTTGACATAAATAATTTACTGCAAAGAATAGATCCAGTCTTGTTATAGTTAAGTACTGCAGCGAGCCTACTAGTTGACGGTAGTAGGCAGGTTGGTGAAAAGCAATATCAGTTGGCAAAGCAGCCGGAACTTTAGCAGGTAGCGGGCTAAGGACTGGTTTGCATTGAAGCATGCCCGCTTTAGTAAGCAAATCTGCTATGTACCTCGTCTGGTTTAAGATAAAGCCAGTAGATGTAGTTTGAATGTGGATGCCAAGAAATTGTGAGACAGGGCCCAGATTTCTCATGTGGAACCGGACATTTAGTGTTGTGATCAGCTGATTCATGGCAGTTCTGTCATTGCCTATAAGTAGAACATCGTCTACATACACCAGTACATAGAGAGATATGGAATCAGTCCGAAATGTAAGAAGCGAGGGATCTTCTTTGGAAGGCTGAAATCCGTATTGTATGAGATAGCTGGAGAAAGTGGAAAACCACTGGCGCGGCATTTGCTTGAGGCCATAAATGGCTTTGTGTAATCTGCATACCCGCAAGGGATGTTGAGGGTCAACGAAACCCGGAGGTTGTTTCATGAAGACAGGTTCTTGAAGGTTGCCATGCAAGAAGGCATTAGACACATCAAGATGTAACACCGGCCATTGAAAATGTGCAGCAAGGATAAGAAGCAAGCGAATGGTTGGGAATTTTGCTACAGGACTGAAGGTGTCAGTGTAATCAATTCCAAATTCCTGTTTGTAGCATTGTGCAACTAAGCGTGCTTTATAACGCTCAACCGTGCCATCCGGGTTTGTTTTTGTCTTAAACAACCATTTACAGCCGAGTACATTTTGTTCTGGAGATGGTTCTACAAGAGACCAAGTTTCTTGGTTTTGAAGTGTCTGGAATTTTGTGGACATGGCAGACCTCCAAACAGCAGATTTGTTGGCTTCAGCAAAAGAAGTTGGGGTGGAAGAAGTTAGCTGATGTGATAAATCCATCAGCACTTTTGGTTTAAGGTGCCCGGTTTGAAACCGAGTTAGCATAGGATGCTTAATTGGGAGGTTAGTAGATGAGGAAGTTGAGGTGTTGTATTGTGAAAGGTTGGAATTAGTTGTTATGCTTGCAGATGAAATCGGTGTGATAGAGTTGGGGGTGGGATGATGAGATGGTGTTAGAATAGATTCAGTTTCTGGAGAAGGAATATGTGTAGTTGAGGATGGTACTAATGTAAGCGGAGACATATTATCACTGGTGTTAGCAATATCGTAGATAGGGGAAGGTGATTGTTTGAAAGGAAAATGATTTTAAAAGAAGATAACGTGTCTAGAGATAAAGACACGGTATCTCTAGACACGGTTAGTAATGGGATCGAACCACTTATAGCCCTTGGATTTGGGTGCATAGCCGAGTAAAACACAAGCAACTGATCGTGATTAAAGTTTGTTACGTTGAGTAGGAGGGAGCCAAGGATAACATAAGCAGCCAAAAGTGCGAAGTAATTTGTAATCTGGTGGTACATTGTAAAGAGCTTGATAAGGGGAGACATGAGGCGAGGCTGCAGTTGGCAATCTGTTAATAAGGTATGCTGCAGTCAGCAAAATATCAACCCAAAACTTTGTAGGAATATTGTCTTTGAACATGTGTGATCTCATAGTTTCGAGAAGATGGCGATGTTTTCTCTCGGCTAAGCCATTCTGTTGGGGTGTGTAGGGGCATGATAGGCGATGAGCAATACCCCAATTGGTTAGAAATTGTTTGAATGGCTGGTTTATAAATTCGCCTCCATTATCTGTTTGTAGTTGTTTAATATTGGTTTGAAATTGGGTTTCCACAAGTTGTTTGAAATTTTGAAAAACAGTAAGAACTTTAGATTTAAATTTTAAAGGGAACACTTAGCAAAAACGTGTGAAATCATCAACTATGATAAGGTAATATTTGTAGCATTGAGTTGACAAAATTGGGGACGGTCCCCATACATCGGAATGTAAAAGTTCTAAACATTTTGTAGAAGTAGACTTTGATAAGCTCAAGGGAAGACGATGACATTTCGCCCGAACACATGAATCACATTGATGCTTGGATGGGAGGGTGGTAGAAAACTTGAGCGTGGCAGATAGTCTCTGTTGAGTGGCTACAGAGGGATGTCCAAGTTGCATGTGCTAGTGAACGAACGTAGATGGGGTGGTGAAAAGCGCAACAGGAGCTGTGTTGTTGTCGTTGGGGTTGAGTGAGAGAGGTAGATTAATAGGATAGAGACCATGTTGACTGGGACCCCGAAGTAAGGTCTGGTGCGTCTGGGAGTCCTTAAGAATGAAACCAGATTTATCAAAGACAATGTAGCATAAATTATCTTTGAGGAGATGAGAAACAGAGATGAGATTATGCGTTAATTTTGGAATGTGAAGTATATGAGGGAGCTATAACTTACGGCTAGGAGTTGGAAGGATGCCTTTACCAGAATTCGTAATAGGCATCTGAGAACCATCTCCAACTTGAACATTGGATATACCATTGTATGGTTGAATGGTCTGTAGCTGAGTGGCATCTGCCATGAGGTGAGAGGTTGCACCGGTATCTAAGAACCAGTCGCCAGAAAGCGACTTATCCTCCTGAGCTATAAGAGCTTGTTAGGATGGTTGGTATGCGAGATCAGCTCGGTACCAGCAAGATACAGCAGAATGACCCTGTTTTGCACAAATTTGACATACGACTGAAGACATTTGATGACGGCCACCACCCCGGGAAGAGATACGTCCTCCACGTGAGGGAGAGGATTGACCGCGTGCGGAACCACGGGGACGACCACAGAAGGCTGCGAGGGCAAGAGATGTATCCGGGGATTGTAAGTTGACTTGTTCCGAAGAGATATTAACCTCTTCACTGCAGAGGAGAGCATAGAGTTCATCTAAGCTGATGGGTTGTGCTCTTGTGTGGATGGCGTCTTAAAGGCATTGTATGTTGGCGGTAGTCCATTGAGAGTGTAGAAGATGACATCTTCAGTGTCGATGAGCGATCCAGCAGAGGCAACGGCGTCTACACGCTGTTTGATGTCGGATAGGTACTAGAACATCAATTTATCTTGCATTTTGAGATGGTGCAGCTCATTTTTGAGCTGAAACAGGCGCGAACGTGTAGATGCTTGTAGCCGATGTTCCAGAGTATGCCAGATGTCAGTGCAGGTTGAGAGATTGAGCACATCGAGGTATCCGGTGTAGCCATTTGCGCCAAAAATCTTTAATACCTGGGATCGCCATATAGGATAATTGGAGGCAACAAGCTGTACATTAAGTACAAATTTGACATTTGCCATAAGAAATTTCAGCTGTGGTGGTATAACAGGGACTGTGGTGGGAATAGGAGAAGCAGTGGTGGGCGTAGTCGGCTCAGCTGCCGTAGATGATGCTTCGGTATTTGCCATGAAGCCGGCTTAGATGACGAGCTAAAGGTTTTAAGGAATAACTTGCTCTGATACCATGAAAGGATACTTAGTTAACCGAAGAGCAGAAGCTGTAAAACAGAAGCAACGAAGAAGACATAAGCAGGGAAGAAGAATATTGAGGAAAACTATTGTATTTCTTCATATTGTGATGACTACAGTGATACATCTTTATAGTGTTAAGGTAAATGATGAAAGAACTGCTGCAACCACAGTTGCCAGAATTCATGGCAGACCAATGTTATCGGTAGCAGAGAATTGGTTAGAGGTGCAGGGTAGTGGAATAAAAATAAGCTGCAAAAGTATAAAGTAGTTTAGTTTAACACTTTAATTTATCTACTTCAATTCCTTCAGATCAAATAAAGACGTAATAGTAAAAATGAGGATGTATTTATTTGAAAGTTCTTAAATAAGCTGAAGAAAGCTGAAGAAAAGTAACCATGTATGTTTATTACTTAGGATCATGCGGCTTATAACCTTCATAAAAATGTTTGATGTGGCGATCCTTTTCCCAAATTATAAGAATGCCACCTATAGAAGATCTACACCTTCCATCAAATAATAACTAACAAAATCTGGAAAATAAAATAGCATGAAAGAGTTACCTCGCACAGACAAAATGATCCTAAGAAGATGAAAGTGTTGGCTTTGGTGGCATTTCCAAGTCATCAACGCTGCATTGCAGCATATCAACCACTCTGCTCATCGATGGCCGACTCCCAGGAATTGTTTGGATGCACCACAACCCCACCAAAATCATCTTCTTTACGATCTCTTCTAATTCAATAGTTACACTGAAACCTTCCATATGGCCAATTTGATGGTAATGCTCATAAATCCAATGTGGAAAATAGTATTCACTATCACTCTTATTGCACGAATGTGAGGTATTTCTTTCTCCAACCATTTCAAGTATCATCATCCCATAGCTATAAACATCCGACTTGCTGGAGACAACTCCGAAGTTTCTAGAAAAAACTTCTGGAGCAATATATCCTATAGTTCCTCTTGTATCTATAGCAGAAAATATGCTATCTTTTCTAAGGCACAGCTGTGCAAGACCAAAATCAGAAATCTTTGGACAGAAATCTTGATCAAGTAGTATATTGTGTGGTTTGATGTCGAAATGCACAATGCGAGTTTTGCAACCACGATGCAAGTACTCGAGGCCACGAGCTATGCCAACAGCTATTTGGTATAGTTTTTCCCAGCCAAGTGTAAATTTCAAATTCTCTGAATGGATGTACTTCTCGAGTGAGCCATTGGACATGAACTCATATATAAGAGCTCTTTTAGAACCCTCTGAACTAAAGCCCAAGAGACTTACAACATTAACATGAGAAGTCCTACCAATACTCGCCACCTCATTAATGAATTCATCACCATTGCCTTTTGTATCGCTCAAAACCTTTACAGCCACCAAACGACCATCAGGAAATTTACCTTTGAACACAGCACCGTAACCACCTTGGCCTAACTTTTCAGAGAAAGAGTTGGTTATCTTCTTCAAAGCTGAATAGTTATACCTTTTTGGACCAAGATAATCGCATGCATCTAGAAAGGCTTCAATGGTTCGAGCTATTTCGTTCTTCTTCTTGAAGATTAAGTTGTTTAATCTGTTACGTCGGATGATACAAAAGTATAATGAGCCGCAAATCAACGGGAGGCATATCAAAGCCACAGTTATACCTACATTAATGTCACAATATATTATTATGATCAACAAATAAGAATGCTGCAGGTAAAAGATGTCAGGATATTATTTTGCTCACCTATCACAAAAGCTTCATTTCGTTTTGCTGCCAAAAATAGAAAACAAGAAGGGATTAGTAAAAAATTAGAAAAGCCAACAACTAAAGTTTATACTTGGCTAGAGATGGACTTTCCTACTTCAAGGAGGATTATTATTCTCCTCATAATTTTTTTTTATTTATCATTTCAATTTCAAAATCACAACATTGATTGTTATTTATAATATACACATTACAGGTGGATTCAATTTCATTATTTTTTATAATAATTTAATCATTCATTAAGTTTGTGTAAAATACAAAGATGATTGAACAGATGCCTATTAACATCTATTTTACTCATCTATTTCACCAATCAAAAGGAGTTTGAGGACCCATCATTTTCCATTTAGAAGCGCCACTACATGGACCATTCAAGCAGCATGAATTCAATTACATGATAATGATAATAGAATGAGGTCTCAGAGGTCATACTTAAGACATGTTCTTAGGGCCATTAGAGGTGAGGATGTAAGAGAAAAGCATGATAACGAGGAGACAACCATGTTCTTAGGGCCATTAGGGATTGGATTTGAATAACATCGAGAATGCGATCATACGAAGAAGGTACATTGAGACACTGTCTTGATATGGAAAATGACTTGGATTTAGAGCAGTAAGATCGATGCACCATGCCTTACCAATTCTCCATGGCATCTTGTAGATACTAGAATTAATATGTGATATCTTTTAAGGGTCAATTATGGCTAATTGCATTCTTGGGTTCCTTAAAAAAGTGGTAAAGGATAAAACTAAAGGAATCCTCGAGAAGATTTGAGGATGTAAGTATTGGTAAACCTTCTAAGGCCTCATCATCAAGTAGGGTTGCAATTGACTTCTAGGACGCACATGATTTTCAAGAGTATATCATGGGTTATGATTATGTAAGCAGAGCAGTCGATGCAACAATTATATGTAAAAAAAAAATAGTGAAGATTTTATAAATTTAAGTCACATACCTTATAATTTATTGCTCATCAGTTTCAAATAGAAAAATTATTCTATTTAAATTATGTTCATAATAATCTGATAATAGTTGAATTTGCTTTTAAATCAATATAATATATATGAAAAAATAATCAAAATATTCTAATTAAATTTTTTTTCCAAATATAAATCCATAAAAAATTCGCATCATCACATAATCAACAACGATACCCAATGCTAAATAACAGAGATAACAAAATCCACAATTCCCATCCTTAGTTAGGTGGTTGTTATTTGGGTGCAAGCAAGAGTTTGTAAATCTTGTGAATTATGCTTTAATAAATTCTGCGAAAATTAAATTTAAAAAATTATCTGACATAATTGGTGTTATATATAATTAATTAACTTAATTTATTAGCAGTAAATTTTAGCCTGAAGAATTCAATTTGATCTTGATGTTCCAGTTTTCTAACTTATGCTCGTAATTTATGTTATTCTCGTATATTATCCGAAGCTATTAAGTTCTTCATCAAAACAGCCCAATCCGATTTGTTAATGGTAAAGGTAAGACCGAATGGAGAAGGAAGAATTGATCAAGATAATAAACAATCGCAGAAAATAATAGGAGAAATTAAAGAGATCTGCTTACAGTAAAAACAAGAATTAAGGCGGTTAGTATCAGAGCAGAAGCAAATCTGATCTTCTGGTCGAGTCTCATTGTAACCGCATCTCCCTCCGGAATCCATACATTCCTGGCACCAATCCAAACTGTCCTTCCAAGTCAATCCGAAACCCGCTTTTAAGGCCACATCGAAGTCCAACCTTTCATAAACCGCCACAGCCGCCGTGTGGTCGCAGCTACCTTGAAAATTTTGCAGAAAAGTTGACGGCCCATCATCCACCATATAGTACGACTTTTTCGGCCTAGAAAGGTTACTAAGGCAAGTAATTTCCGATAGCTGGGGCGGCATGATCGGGAAACTGCAATTTAGGTAAACTGTGAGGTTGCTGTCGCCAGTGGCGTAATTGAAGAGGGTTGAGTTGATGCTGGTGTTAGTGAAACTCAGAGGGCAGCCAGTCCTCACGAAGTATGAAGAGACAGTTGGAAATTATACTTAATTTGGCCCGTTATTATTTGGGCTTTTGATTG